CCCCACCCTGTCAGAGATATCCAAATTTCACGATCACATAATCGTTCGTCTTTCCCAAAGTGCTGCCTGCAGTCATACACACGCGGTGTGTCGTGCCCTCAGAGTCGCTCGCACGCTAAACCCCTCTTCAGCCTGATCAAAAATAGTGTACTAGGAGAGAAGAGTCTCCTATTTTAGCACATGTTTACAGCACGGCTTCAAAAGCACCCCTGCCGCGAAGTGTCGTCCGCTTGATGCCTGAGCATTTACAGTGGTTACATTTTTTAAGCGACAGGTGGCATATGAAGGCATCCACGTGCTGCCTGACAGCAACATTTAGCCCCCTCGTTCACCTCCGATGAAATGAAGGGCCAGTCGCATCATGGTTGCAATTCGGCGTACGTGAAAAATCACGAGGAGGCCAAAAATGTGCCCAAAAAGTGTCAAAAATGAAGCGCGACATGCTAGCACAGCTCTCTCTGGGTTTCCTGTGTTATGCAAATCGATTGTTTTTTGCCCCCGATGAGCCCTTGATGAATAATTTAATCCCTCTGCTGTCTGTGAGTCAGGCATTTCAGCAAATGAAGTTTGTCGGTGGCTCAGATGATGGGTTTCGGGCGACGCCCGGGCTGTCTTTGATTACGATGGCGCTGGTTTGTCAAGGACATGTGGGAGCCAGCTGGAAACCGTCAGAGGGATGCGCAGGGGTGCGAATGTGGGTCCCCGAGCATCAGCAACTAATGAATCAATCAGAAAGCCATGCTGCCATGACAGATGTCCACTCTCTATGCAGGTTTACGTTTAAACGATTATAAAACGATGGCTTGCCAGCTTTGCAGCGTGGGTGGGCCTCAAAGAGAACTGCGGGGGGGGGGCAGATTCCCCAAAGTTACCATCAAACTATTTCTGAGGAAAGATAAAGCACCTCCTTCAACCACAACGGTGTCAGCAGTTCCCCATACTCTTGCTCCTGCTCTACAGGTATAAGGTGTCAGACTTTCCTAACGTCACTCTTATCTTCACCGACAAAAAGGCTTCACACATCTAACCAAAGAAAAAAGGGAAAAAAAACCAACGGCTATTGACTAAGCCATTTCCATTTTATTCCTATACGCAGGAAGGTTCTTTCTTTCCCTCCATAATTGGTCTGCTATATTAAATAGATTCTGGTTTATCTGTATTATTTGTGGCTGTGTAAAATCCTTTATATATCTTTTTATTGTGACAACAGGGACAAGAAGGAGAAAAATCATGAGTCGCACACAAACAAATGCCGTGTGAGTGACTAAGCTGCCTCTTTAGTGCAGCCGTCGATGTGTCAGCCCACCGCCGTCCCATTAGGGGTCCTCGCGCCCCCGTGTGGCAAAGGGCAGTAGGGGGCTAAGCTGGCTAAGGTTCCCCTGCAAAGCTCCTGATTCGCGGATTTGCTGCCTCAGCTCTGTAAACAGGCTGCCCCTGCGTCGGGGTACTCGGGGCAAGTGCCATTAATGAAGCAGAATAGCCCTGTCGGGGTCTACGTCGCCCTCATGAGGCCGTGGCCTGCCAGTGCTGGTTGGTCTCCCCTCTTAATCTCCATTGTGTCAGCTGGCATAGAGAGCTGACCTCCATCCTCAATCCTACAAGTGTACAATAAGCTAATTACCAGATACATTCAATGTCCTCATATGCTACTGCAATAGCACAGAACATTATTTAAACGATCATTAAACATTTATTTATTATCGATCACATAGGGCTTCACAGTATCTCTGTATATTTTTTAGCTGTTTATGTAAAGCTCCATAAAGTAGACTTTATTTAGGATTGTTCATATAAACGCGTTTCATAATAACATTTGTGGTTTGGTAAAGAAGAGTTACATTGGGTCTTTAATTCCGCATCGATGGCAGGTTGGAGCGATCGAGACTGACAAGAACAAACAGTTGTAAACCGAGATTCTAATTGGAGAACTGAAAGCATCGGTAATTACTGTAATAAATTGTACATGATATATAATCAGTCCCCCGTGCTTCCGATTCCTAGCATAAATCTCAGGAAGCCACTCGCACTCACGCTCACACAAGTCGGGAAGTCAGTTCCGCGTCGTGGCACCTCTGTCTCAATTTGTGTTTTACTATGATTTCTGCACACACTCCCCACACAAAGAAGCGATCTGCCTGCTTGGGGCCCGGAGCCACTTGCAGGTATGGGACCATGCTGGGCTTGGGGCTTAGGTAAGAGAAAACCGGCAACAAAGAAAGCTTGAACATGATCAAACTGAGCAGATTTTTTCTGTATCTTTTTATGACTTTTCCATTGTGACTTGTTCATTGGAAGATCATTCGCTTGATACTGTATGTCTGTTGTCAGGGGTTTAGAGTGATTTCACTCTTCGACCTTCGTATACATACTGTCTGTGAAAGTGTATGGGAAGAAATGTAAAGAATACATGAGGAATTTTAACGGAAAGCTTCAGTCTAAGACAGAAGCTTAATAAGCACTTTTGGTTAAAGACAGAGGAGGTCAACTGAGGCTAACGCAGAAACATGAGCATAAGATCATAAGAAATTTATAAACAAGAGGCTGTACAGCCCATCAAGCTTGTTAGGGGAGAACCTATGAGGAACACTTTAGACTGAAGCAAGAAACATGAGGAACACTTTAGACTGAAGCAAGAAACATGAAAAACACTTTAGACTGAAGCAAGAAACATGAGGAACACTTTAGGCCGAGGACGGAACCATGATGAACACCTATGTGACGGGAGTTACATTGCTCATAGGACAGGACCCAGACCGTGATTCACACTTGCTATGAATTCCTGCTGTGTATACTGCACCATTTGTTCATTTGCCTAATTGTTTGTTATGGTGTCCTTATTCTCTTGAGTATATTCAGACAGGATGGCAACCATTTAAACGGAAGAGATAGTGTCAGCTTTGGCACAGGGAAGGAGCACCCTAACCATGTGCAGTAGGTGGGCCCAAAATCATTTACGAGCTCCCAGCCAATAGGTGGACAGCACGTCATTGGTGGGCACAGCTAACCGAAAAGTTAGCTTCGCTAATTAGCGAGTAGCAGAACCCTGCCCACCACTGCACCACTTCACAAATATGATGCAAGACAATATCTCAGGACACTCAGTTCAAGCCTGTACAAGGGATGTACTAGCAGATGATCTGATACACCCATGTTAATGAATGCAGGTACTGTACACACACAAAGTAATACACACATGCATGTGCATAAATGTCTATAGGTGCTCACTGTACACCTTTTGGAATCTCACTTTTTCAGCCAAGGACAACCCGAGAGATATACCGACCTTAAATTCAAGATAAATACCAAACAGAGGAGGCAATATGCCGGGTGCTAGGCGAAAGATTACGATGGGAGGTAGCGTCAAATGAAGTGAGCAGAGACGGCGGCACTCTGTCTCCACATAACTGAGGTGACTTTCAGGCGCGGGAAAAAAATGCAAGAGGGATAGGCGTTAAAATGGAAATCCATAACGTAAACTCCTAGGCTACCGTTGGTCATGGACAGGCATCGTGGATTATGTTGTCCAATCAGAAACTCACCTTGTCAGTATCTAATTAAACACCCATGTGGGAGATTTTGTAAAAAAAAAAATGTATCTGACCAAATGGTCGGGTAGATAACAGGACAGTAGCATTATTTTTGTGAAAAACCAGCAGGTTCCAGTGGAGTAGATAGCTGATTTGTAATTGCCAGGGCATTAGAGGAGGAAAATAGCCAGTAGGTTAAAGGGGTCGACTGTCGGACATGGTGAAATACCGGAATGCGATTTGTGACAACACCGAATTAAATTCCACCTATTTGTGTGGCATAAGTCATCTCCAGGATGACCTATTCGAGCTGCTCTGCACAGACTATTTTAAGAAATGTCCCTAAATACCATAAATAGTTAAATGCAGCAGCTACTTATCAGAGGCTTTCCTAAAAGTATTGCAACTGTCTCCAGGTTTCTGTAAAGTTTATATATTTCCAGATGACGAAGCAAGTCTTAGCTATTAGCAGAGTTCTGCTCTATAACTATTTCCTAACATTATTGGAATGTTGGCTGAAATATTGTGGAGAGGACAGGTGGGTTAAAATAAGCAGCACGGTGACTACCCCCCCCCCCCCCCCCCAGGGAGAGAGTGGACAAAAACGTAAGGGGCAGATGACTCAGGAAAAACCGTAATCGCATGAGTTCAGGACCCCCTCATGAGTCCGAGCGTGGTTTTTAAATCCACTCCCCGGAGTCTAAGCGGTCAGATGTGATATTATATTCTTCGTACTCTGCGTTACCACCGTCCGACCAAATGAAGTAATTTCACGGTCTGATGGTCAGAGGGAGCACTTTGAGGAGTCAGGGAATGTCAGTTATCCGCCCATCTTGGACGAGTAACGGTCCCCCGGATATCGATGCTGGAAGATGAGCCGCCACAGAATGAAGAGCCGGAGGAAGGCCAGGATGTGTAATGAGAACGTAGAGTGACTGCCATTGCAAGGGCCTCTGTAAACCAAAGAGAGTAACTTCACTGTGTGACACTGTGCCAAAACAGGTTGGACCTGAGAATGATGGTCACAAGCCCCAAAAAAAATCACCTAGCATGCATGTGATATAACCGA